GGTGCCCTGTCGGCCCCCCCCTCACATGGATCCAGCTCTGTCCTGACTGGTCCTGCAGGGCAGCTGGCCTAACCCCTCTCCACCCTGCTCTAGGTCCTCTGCTCAAGTCTGGCCTTGGGGGTGTTCCTGGCCATATGTCCCCCTTGCCCATGTGCCAGCCCCGTCCTTCAGCTTAGCTGGCTCTCCCTACAGTAAATGCATGCTCCTTGGCTGTGATGTCCCTGGCCTGGGCCTGACGGGTTTCCTAGCCCCTCACTGGCGTGTCCTGGGTCACGCCTGCCCTCTTCGTGCTGGTGGCATGTTACACACTGGTGCACCCAGGGATGCCACCACCAGCACCTCTGCCCTCTCCAAGGGCCTCTTTTTTTCCTCCTGCCTTGGCTGATTCTAGGCAGTAGGAAAGCCTGAGCATGCCCCTCCAGGGTGCCAGGGTCCCTTCCTGGGCCCCATATGGGAGAGGGCCAGGCCCCAGTGTCTGCTGCACCCTGAGAATGGGGCACGCACAGTTCTGCAGCCTTGTGCCCCAGGGCGGCTCCCTGCTCCCCCAGGCCCTGCTCCCCACCCTGCTCACCCCACCTCTGCACACAGTGGTTCGAGTCCAGCAGGATCCATGTCGCAGCACTCATCGTGGGCGAGTGCTCCCAGGTTTGCAGCCACTGGAGCGTCCCTGGCCTGGAAGGTGGGCCTGGGCAGGGGGTGGGGTGGGGTGGGGTGGGGGCCTACAGGGAGCTCTGGTGCTAATGCCCATCGCTCCCAGGGGTGGACACCCGTGCGCTGACAAAGCGAATCCGGGAGAAGGGGACGCTGCTGGGGAAGCTGGTGCCAGATGGGACCCCCGAGAAGAGCGTGCCCTTCGAGGATCCCAACACGCGGCACCTGGTGCATGAGGTCTCCCTGAAGGTATGGCCAGGCCCTCTGCCCCTTGGAGGGGGTGGGGGCCAAGGGGAGGACAGGACAGTGCTGAGCACATGGGTGATGGAAGCGTCCTGGACACTAGGTTGTTTCCCCACTCCCCTCCAGCCCTGCTGGTCTTGGGGGGTCTCTGCCTGTGCCCTTCCTCCCCGCTGGCTCAGGAAGTGCTGTCAGCTTCAGGCTGGGGCCCATGCTCCTGTTGTCCTGGGTCAGCAGGGGCTTGCACCTGGCCTGATGGCCATGTGGCTGCTGCACTCTGACCCTCGAACCCCACAGGAGCCCCGAGTGTTCAACCCCAGCGGCTCGGTCCAGATCATGGCTGTGGACTGCGGCCTGAAGTACAACCAGGTGCGATGCCTGTGCCAGCGTGGCGCAGCCGTGACTGTGGTGCCCTGGGACCACCCCCTGGACAGTGCAGGTGCGTGCGGGCCCCATCCGACTGGGGTCAGGGGCGGTCAGTGGTAAGGCTGAGTGTGTGGGTATGAGGGCCAGGGGCCAAGGTGCCAAGGGTGGAGCCAGCTGCATGTGCACAAGAGCAGGAGGCCTGGAGCTTGCCAGGGTGGGTTGAGGGACAGGAGGCACCTGGGGCTTGGAGCCCTGGTACAGTCACCCCAAATGGCGCTAGACCCAGTGACAAACCCTCTCAGCCATCAGTGCTGGGAGAGGGGGAAGGGGAGTTGGGGGTGTGCTGGGCAGAGCAGGGGCAGTGTCTGCTCCGACCATCCCTGTCCCTTAATCCTAACCCTTGCCCCACAGAGTTTGATGGGCTGTTCATTAGCAATGGCCCAGGAGACCCACAGCGCTGCCAGGAGACTATCGCTGGCCTGCGCCACGTGCTGGCTGCACCCCAGCCCAAGCCTGTCTTTGGCATCTGCCTGGGGCACCAGCTTCTCTCGCTGGCCATTGGCGCCAAGACCTACAAGATGAAGTGAGTGTGGGGGAAGGGAGGCCCCAGCCACAGGGCCAGTTGGGCTGGGCTCCCAGCTCCTGGCACAGAGCTGTGGGGGGCTGGGGGCTCAGGGCTTTGCCCCAGCTGGGTCTGTGCCCATGGGAGTGGCCCTGAGCGCTGGCATGGAGCCCCCCCTCCCATGTCCCCTACAACCCCTCAGCCCAGTCCATGGGGTTTCCCGGGTCTCTCATGGGCCCAGAGAGGGGAAATTTCCTTCCTGCACCCCTAATTAGCTGCCTGCCTCTCATGCCCACTGGTGCTGCAGGAAGGCCCCTGCCTGGGGTGGGGATGGCCAATGTGCCCCCACCCTCCTTGGCAGGGCAGGTCAGACACATCTTGCAGAGCTCATGCTGTGTCCCACAGGTATGGGAACCGTGGGCACAACCAGCCGTGCATCCACGAGGACTCAAAGCGCTGCTTCATCACCTCGCAAAACCACGGCTTCGCAGTGGAGCCAGGCAGCCTGCCTGCTGGTTGGGCCCCGCTCTTCACTAACGCCAACGACCGCTCCAATGAGGGCATCGTGCACAACACCAAGCCCTTCTTCAGGTGGGGAGACTGAGGGGGTGGGAATGGGCTGAGGGGTGGCTGCCACCCTGGCACTCCAGGCGGGGTCGGGCAGTGCTGGGGCTGTGCAAGGCTTCAGATCCGGAGAAGCTTCGGACGCTTTGGGGTCCGAAGCAGCACCTCTGGGTGGAAGTGCTGGCCTCGTTAGGCTTCCAGAAGCGGTTCGGAGCTGCCTCAGAGATCTAGCCATAGGGTATAATGGGGAAACAATAACATATCTATAACTTTGTTGTTTTTTGTCCGATTCGGATGAAATTTTCAGGGGTGGTAGACTCTGCAGAGAGGATGAAGTCTGCCAAGTTTCAAGAAGATAGGTCTAGGGGTTTGGGGGAACAGCACCCCAAATTCTTGAAAGCAAAACTCATGTCACGTCTAGGCATTACCACATAGCGGGGTGAAAACTGCAGGGGTGGTAGCTCTTACTGAGGCCACAAAAACCTGCCAAGTTTCAAGAAGATCAGTGTAGGGGTTTGGGGGGAACTGCCCCTCAAGCTGCGGACAAGCAAAACTCGTGCCATGGGTGCTTGTGGGACTGACTGTCTCTGGCTTGGGGCGAGGAGGGGAGACACTGCTGCAGGCCTGGCTGCTGAGCTGCTGTGTTACCAGTTACCAATCAATCAATCATGATTCACTCAGGGACCAGGGACTCGGGGACCAGCTCAATACACAGGACCTAGCTAGTACATAATGACTTAAGGAGCATTAATTAGCACCTACAAAACCAGGCTAAGGAGAAGAAAGAATCAATACAATCAACTGCCCCAAGATGAAGACAGTCTTGGCACGAGTTTTGCTTGTCAGCAGCTAGGGGTGCAGGGCCCCAGAACCCCCCTGCACCCATCTCCTCGACAGCTGGCAGGTGTTGTGGCCTCAGCAGGAGCCACCATCCCTGCAGCTGTCAC